GAAGAGCTCTGAGAGAAATTTAAAGAATTTGAAACATTGCATCTGAATTTATATATAATTGTATACTTTTTGTCCAGAACAATATTAATGTGTAAACCAAGCATAGTAATGTACACAAACTTAACACTACAAATGCCCCCTTACAGGTGACAGAAGGTATTAGGTTCTTTCATGGGTTAAGGTATACAGTACTTTAACAAGATCTCCCTAGTGATGTATTAGATTTGTCAATCAATCATTTCAAAAGTCGTTTAAAAATTGTCCACAAAGTAAAGGATATTATATTGTTAAAAAATATCTAAATGACATAAAGGCATGGTGTTAGATATTTTAACCTAATGTGATTAACATTGTACCTATGTATTATGTGCCGTGCAGTTATTGATGGATGTATTAGAATTAGCTTCCTTAATTCACTTCAAAAGTTAAGTACCTATACTTATTGTATATTGATTTATTAATGAGTATGTATGACTCGGCAACCATATTAATCAGTAATCGAAAATACATATATCGGTCTTGTTATATCTGATATTGTAATGGACGACGACTAATAAGACGACTCTTTTTGAAATAAAACGGAGAAAAAAACAGCCCTTGCTGAGTTTCTTGCCAGTTCTTCTCAGTACAAGGTCTCCCGCCGTAGTTTTGCAAACCGTAGTTTTCGACTTTCACAAGTACTATGTATAAGCCTAAACTGTATAAACGATTTTGATTTTGATGATACGCAAAAAATTGTACTTCTTTTGAAAGTATTTTAAATTCTATCTAGTACATTAAAAGACATCGAACTTTATTTTACGGTGCAGTCCTAATAATTGCATTATCGACCGCCATAAGAAGGAGCTCTTCAAGCAATTCGTGAAAGATAACAACGTCAAGCGTCCATTATAACCGCACAACCATATTCCCTACATATTAATCTATAATCATAAAGCGACAACTGAAACTGAACTTTGCTAGGGAATTATTAAGAGTGACATTTGAAGATGCGAATTTAGGTTGCATTAAGCACCCTAAATTTGCAACCCTCGCACAAACTCAGAAGTGTTAAAACACTTGTTGTGTTTATACGTACATAGTTTGTACACATTAATACATATGTAGTCGTTTACTAAATTGTTTGAAATTGACAGATATTCGAATTCTCCACAGAGATATGGATTATTTTATTTTTGATTGGAATATAAAATTTATTCATACTTTATACATACGAAATAATTGTGTCGTTCTGGAGATGCACACAAAACAAACGTCTACGTCTAAGTTATAATAAGGTTTATAATTATTTATAAAAAAATCAGTATAGGTACTTACCTAATTCTCTTATTAATCTTAGGCGTTATAATAAGAATTATTGAAAATTAGAAGGTTCTATTAATTCAAAAATCCAACACGATGAGAGACCGCGAAACGACAAGAAACTCAGCAAAGATCGTTTATTTATTTTTTTCTTTGAAGACGTTGAAATAAATGTACATTTAGTTTGAATTGTTTAGTTTCGAAAAATTAATAGCTACTGTGAAGAAGAAGCTAGTAGTTTTAGATTGAACAAGTAAAAAATTTTCAAATAAAATGTGATATCAAAATGTTGCATTGAAACATTCAAGATGTCCAAGGATATAAATTAGAATTCAGCGCGTGTGTAAGACATCAGTGGGTGTTATTTCAGCTCCAGTGTGACTCCGACGATGTGATTCAGGAGTGAGTCAGATGTGCTTTCATCCCTTTTATTTACTTATCGGAGAAATGTTTGGTGATTCACCGATATCGACTGTTGTTTTTAGAACAAATGTTCTTTGTGTGAATCGCTATTAGAAGCAAACATGATATATACGGTCTAAACCAGAGTTACCAAACTTTTAAGATATCTATCGGAATATCCAACAAATAACCTTGTCAAGTGCCGAACTTGACACGGGATTTATATAGATATAAATAGACTGTAATACTACAGTTATAGTCAAAGTCAAAATAATCTTTATTCAAATAGACTCTTAAAAGTACTTTTGAATCGTCCAACATTTTTTCCCTCCACTCGTAGAGTCCCTAATCCTAAGATTATAAATTGATCGAATTGCTCTTTTCTGAAACACAAAAATTAATTGTATGTCGGCAGCATTTCCCCACAATAGGATACCGTACGACATCACACTATGAAAGTAACTGAAGTATACTAATCTGGCAGTATCTATGTCAGTTAACCTACGTATCTTCATTATGGCATATGCTGCAGAGCTAAGTCTACTCGACAATTTATCAATATGTGAGCCCCACTGTAGTTTAGAATCTAATGTTATTCCTAAAAATACTGTGGTATCCACAAGGCCCATGTTCTTATCTTTTATATTAACATTTATATCTACGTTTTTTGTTTGTTGTTGATTAGTTACTAAAATTTTTAGGCATTTTGTTTTTCCTTCATTAAGGAGAAGATTATTTACATTAAACCAATGTACTACTTTAGCGATAGAATTGTTCACATCGTCATTTAGAGGTAACCCTCTTTTAATTTTAAACAAGAGTGAAGTGTCATCCGCAAACAAAACTATTTCGTGATCATCCCTTACGAAATAAGGCAAGTCGTTTATGTAAATCAAAAACAAGAAAGGACCAAGTATTGAGCCCTGCGGAACGCCCATCTTAATTTTCGATCCAGGGGATCTTTTGCCATTGATATCAACCGTCTGTACTCTGTTAGTCAAGTATGAGACAATAAAATCCAATGAGTTATCTCTAAATCCATAAAAATGCAGTTTCAGCATATTTATTTACAGCTATAAATTACTGTCATTTTGAACAAAAACAATTAAGGCACTATTGTTAAGATTTACGCTAAAGCCATAGAAGGAGCGACAAATACAAAAAAGATGTATAAATATGTTAGCGTTCAAAAGCCTCGTTTCCGGTGAGTCAGGTCTGTCAAGACAGTGCAGCGGATTAGTATGCGTTGGGGTCGCAAGAAACATGCTCCTTGTTTCCGGACCGAGACAGCACAACATTATAAGTCACACGCTCGTTATATGTGCGGTTCAGTGCTGATGACCTTGACAAATCATATTACGAGGATCTCTAATGAGATGATTATCAATAATAATGTTACTTTACGTGTGAATTCCAATTAGTAATTTCACTACAATTAGTAAAAAATTAGTTACTATCACAGAACATAGAACTAACGATTATTATAAAGGAGATTGCCCATCGCGTGCTCACAGTACATTGACTTGCGCAAGGCCCAAAAATAATAATAGACTAGTTGACATTTTTTTTTTATTTTACAAAATTATAGTAAAGTTAATATCTGAGAAATAATGTTGAAGTAACAGCATGTCTGCGATAAATAGTTTTGGTGATATGGTACGGTATTTGTGGAACTGCTGCTAATCGGCCGAAAACGCTCCATACAAATTCAAGGCACTGTGCGTCATACGGTGCTACGGTAGCGAAAAACGTATGGGCGTCAGTGTAACATTGTAATGTCTATGTTATTTGTGCGTTTATGTTAAAGTTATAACATTTTATGTAACTACTCGTAACTTATTGCCATATGTATTTTACTAAATTTTTGTAGTATATTTTTCCTACTTTTTTAAGTTTTCCAAGCGTTATATTTTGCAAATTAATGTTATAAAATTTATCTTGTTGAATACTTATAAGTTAATATGGTTCAATATTCCGAACATATGTTAGAAACCTGCATCTTCACTTGAAGGACACAAGCCTGATCCTACATTATATTTTCAACAGACATAATATGCATGATGCCTGGGTAAAAAGAAATTCTATTTAATCCATCAGTCAGATAATAGTAAAATATTAGATCCGTATTTTTTTACTTCAATTTACCAAGAAATAGCTTAGATAACAGGCATTAAAGTTAACGAGTGGGGACTTATTACGTCACATTATTATAGAAAATGTAGCAAAGCGTGACGTCATGCAACATTTCAACTCAATGTATCGCCGTAATTTATCGATTTGATATTCTTATAAAATCAACCTCAAAGACAAACCAACAAAAATTAGTCGTCAGCCCTTTTCAAGTTTTCCAGTTTTTCTGGACAAGATAAGATTTTGTTTTCTAGCAAAGGTATATCGAAGATAGAAAATAAAATTACCGTCATGCTAGTGCATGACGCAGTTGGAGATAATTCTCTAGACGTTCAAAAACTTTTAGATATTACTATCAAATCATTCACTCAAAATTCAGATAAAAGATATAAGAGATCAATATCATTATCATAGCTGTTGCACATACATGTGTTTGTGGTGTTTTAATTGTACAACAAGATTATCAAGGAGGACGAATAAGGGTAATAAGTATAGGTACTAACTACCCTTTACTGTTATATAACTCATTTCCTCAACCAACTAGCAACATATTTATACATTTCCTTCCATCACCATCATCACCATCACCAGCCCTTATACGTCCCCACTGCAGGGGCTCAGGCCTTCCTTATGGATGGTTAAGGAGGATGGGCCATGACCCTCCACGCTGGCCCAATGCGGATTGGAGGGTATTAACGACTGCAAACGCAGCCGGGACCAACGGCTTAACGTACCTTCCGAAGCACGGAGTAGCTCGAGATAATAATTTATTGGTCACCCATCCCATTTCCTTCACCTTCTTCCAAACCTAACAAGATTGTAGTCGTCTTTTGTAAGATAAATATCGATGTCGCATTATTATCGATATATTAACATAAATATCGATATATATTATTAATGCTTAACTGAAGCATAAAAAACAAAGTCGTTTCCCGCTGTCTGTACGACATATTTATAATACATAACGAATTTTAATGAATCGAGAGGAAGATATTTAATACCTGACCAGAAGGAACTTATAATAGGACAATCTGGCAATTAAATGGAATTCGCATGTGCATTCACTAATTGTACTACAGATGAAGACGTTATACGATAGGATAGGAACATCACGAGGGTGTTATGATGAAAGGAGGACGATATTGTGAGTTTAATGACCGTCATACCTGATCTGGAACTTGCTGCCTGGTTCCTTCTCCTCAGACTCACAGGTGACGTTCCCGAATGAGTCGACAGCCAAGTATTTGTCCAGGTGAGAACGCAAGTAGATCATACCTGCAATAAAGAAATCACTATTACTGATAAATACTTAGTCAATTTAAACATAATATATAGATGAGATAACATGATCATAGCTTTGAGGCTTCGCTCGGGACACGTTCCACTGATTAGTTTGCATAAGTAATTTCTATATGCTAAGTAAAGTCTATACAAGTCTGTCAAATGTCTTTAGTTAATTTTAAACATTATATATGGGTAGCGTTTAAAATTAACAATAAACTCATATTTTAATGGAGTGTGACAGAAATAAGACACATAAAGTAGAAATAATCCCTCGCGATCGAAGTGTTGTAATATTCAACAGTATTAAATTGCGATTGTGAGTCAAGAACTCCTTCGGTAAACGATAATTCCTTCGGCAACAAAGTGGGTATAATTAAAACAAAAAAACAAAACTTCTTGGAAGTTTAAAATCAATTATAAATCGAAGTTGCTGTCGTTCCCTGTTAAGCTATTTTACCAAATTTCTACGCAGATTTCACTTCTGAATTGTCTTATAGAATTTGTCCCTGTCATAGAGTTAAATCCAAAATTAAGTATTTTCTCTTCATAAGCGAATCAACAGTTACATTAGAGTAACTGTTCCCAAATTATGAATCAAATACAGTTTACTCCAAATCTTCAAATATATTACTGTACTTTTCTGTGCATAGAAAGAAGTGTTATAATAGCCAAGAGATCAGTTAAACATAAACTAGTTTATACAAACAACGAAACCGATGTTTTGGATATCAAACTATAATTTGTAACAGTGGCCCGCTATTATTGATACACAATTAGAGACCATGTTATTAGTTCAAATTACGATATCAAAACAATGTCTGGTAACAGTAACCGCGGTTACCGTTATGTCTTCTTGGCTGTCACAGATACGGATAGATCAATTTTATAGCGTTTCGATATTTATGATTTTAAGTCTTAAGATTTGTGATCTGCATTTAAACTATTATTTGAAGACCCTCTTGTAGCTCCGCTTACATTCCCGTACAAATAATTACGCACACAAATACACATCGTGAGTAAAGACGCGCTACCTTGATCTTATACATTTTTAATCACAGAAAAAAAACCATTAAATTTGAGAAAAAAACCATTAATTTTTCTTTAATTTAAATTTTCATAAAATAGTTTTTATTTGGCAAATTTATTTAAAAAGTGAGCATAGTTTTTCTAGGATTCTGTATGCAAAGAATGCCAACAGATAACATGCCTTGCTATTCATCCATTGATCTGATGATAATATATTATATGAACTGCGATTGTACACAGAATTTGCTACTATCATCTACATAATTATCAATTAGTTAATCATCGTCCTAAAAATAAATGAAATATAATAATGGTTTCCTTTCGAGTATTTCTCCTTTTGAATCATTATTAATATAATTCTATTCTATCAGATGTTTTATCATTCCAAGACTTAAGTCGAGGACTCTAATTATGAATCTTTAAAATTTTTATTTTAAGATTTCATAGATATCTATGTATATGAGCTCATGGTTGTCAAGCAATAGGGATGATGACTGGGTAAAAAAATGCAATTCTATTTAGTCCGTCAGTCAGATAATAGAAAAATATTAGATACGTATTTTTTTTTACTTCAATTTAACAAGAAATAGCTTAGATAACAGGCATTAAAGTTGAGGAGTGGGGGCTCGCTACGTCACAGTTGAGTAGAAAACGTTCTCTAACGTGACGTCATGCGAAATTTCAACTCAATGTAACGCCGTAATTTTATGATTACGAAAAAAATAAAAAAATACGTATTTCATATTTTTTAACACTCTACCTGACGGACAAACAAACAAAAATTAGTCATCATCCCTATTCGTTGCCCACTGTACTGTTTGTATTTTGATTAAGGTTGAAATGTTTTTTTCACCGAACCCTTTTCAAATCCTTTTATTGGGAATATCGCAAAATCTGTTCCACTTGGCGATGTGGAAACATCAAATATTCACCTGTTAGACCAAAACGAATCGAATGAGAGGTTGAGTAGTATTGATCGAGGTGTGAGGGGAGCCAGCTGACACCGGGACCTAACCCTCACTGATCGAGGGGGAAGACTCTACGAAACCCTTCACATTGACATTAATTTTATTGATAACTTTAAATTGAAAATTTGCCTGACACAAATAACAATAAACTACGGCACCTATAATATTTAAAAGCATTTGTTTGCAGGGAGCATCCCATCAAATGTTTAGTTTATATGAAAATATTTTTTGCCTTTATTTAAATGTTAACTATTAATATCACAGCCAAAATCAATTATATTGTAATTAAGAGAAAATCACATATATCCAAACGAAGGCCCCTTGCTAGTCTATATAAATTGTATTATTTGTTACTGGTACTTTACACAGTGATTTTCGTAACAAAATAACATTAAAACAATGATGTATATAAAACAATGTATTTGCAAATGAGCGCAATAAGCATTCTTATTAATGTCAGTTATAATTAAACTATAAAACAATACATGACCACCAGCACGTTGGAGGATTGAGTTCAACGACCTTGGTGACCTTTACGGCATCATAACCAGCGGACTATAATGAGCTGTAAGCCCTGGGAGAGATCACGAACATATGCCGTCGCGGGTCAAGAGACCTACATTTAAATAGCGAAAAAAAAAATTACACAATCGCGCTTATGTCAACAAACCTTTAATGATAACAATCACCTTGTGGGTTCACGTCCTATATGTAGTTCAGGATTCAGGAAGGACGGCAACTGTTGTTATTGTAGACCGTTTGACGATTCATTTTTTTATTTTCATATAAGTGGTGGAAAAACGGAGAGGTAATTACATGAATGTGTTTTATTTTTTAATTTCGTTTTGATAGTTTCAGTATTTACCTAGTATTTAGGGTTCTGTACAATTAGAACTGTTTGCCTTGTGAAAAGTAAAAAAAAAATCACAGATGATATATTTCTGTAGCCGCTTCAACAACAAATACTAAAAACCAGAATAAAATAAATATTTAATGGGGCTCCCATTAAACAAACATGTTTTGTGTTTGCTTGTTTTGTTCGATATTTATAACAACACATAGACGCTTGAAATATATTTTATAGTAAGAAATTAATATTCCTAATTTATATAATAATAATATAACGAATACACCTGTTATTAATCAATCTCGTAGAAACTACAGCTTACCTAATAATTTTTAACATCTGCATTCAAAATGTAACTGTTGTAATGTTCTCTGTTGAAACGAAAACCTTCAAATGTATATCACATACTAACCGTGGTCTGATTGTATGCGGGTAGTTAAGAGTTATAAAATATTTGTAAAACAAAGTTGTTTTCAATATAATTAATTGCGTACTAAATTCTTTTATAGTTCGGTAGCTTTATTATGGATATGTTTAAGTTACAGCTTCGTTGGGGTGGTTCAGTAAAATTGTGTGTACGGACCGAATTGGATCTGAGGGGTAGACTTTCATAAACAAACTTAAAAACGGTTTACATTAACTAAGTATTTTACATTATTTTTTAACATTGCTTAAATTTACTGTATTCAGCTTTATGTAAAAAAGAGGGAATGATTTGACTTATTATTCAATTTCATTCCTCACGCAGGCGGGTTAATTTGTTTTAATTAAATTATATATTTTTTATATATATTTTTAGTTAAACAAATTACCAGGTAGCTTTAGAAAGTGAAAGAACAAAGTCCATGATTTTAAACTTTATCATTTTTATATAATAGCGTCGTCCAGCCGCCATATTTGATTTTATCTAACATTATCTATCTAAGAACACTTGGGCTACTAAGACAAATCTAATACATATGCTATTTAAATCATTTTAGCGGTTCTGAAGATATGAGGTAAGAAAGAATATTATATACATACAATATGCTACCACTACACCTAGATTCACCCGAGCAGCACTCGAACTGGGGATCTCAGAGATGGCGACACCTTGAAACCGGCATGTGAGCCACTCGGTCACGGAGATCGTATGATATACCTAATAGGTATTTTTTTGAATATAATATTTTTATTTACACAACATGACTGAATCATAAATATTTAACGCATAATTATTAACGCCAATGAAAGTAACTTTCACAACTTTCCACAACTTAACTATATACTTAAAAAATATAAATATTAATTTAATAATGCATGATTTTATAAATACGTTAACTTTTAATTAAAACTGGATGTTAAACTGGAAATTTTTTAAATAAATAATAGTTAGTATTTATTTCCAGAAATCATTTACATTTTTAGTACCTACCTACTCAATTTCACAATTTAAATGTTTTTTAAATAAAACATATTTACCGATTTCAAAACACATACCTATAGAAAAATTAAGGACATTTTTAATAATACTTTGTGTTCATCAAGTTCTTATTAAATTGTAAAAACAATTTTATTACATTACAACCCAATCTTATTATTTCTTTTATCATATAATCCTAAATGTATACGATCAGAAAATATTATTATTATCATCTCAAAATTAGTATTATATTAAAATGTTTCTCATTTATAACTACCGTCAATATAATTATATCGTCTAAAAGCAGCTAAATATTAACAGACGCAGAGAATGACAGCTGGACATCGACTTTAATTTACACGCTGTCAGTATAATAATTTATTCTAAAGCTAAATTAGTTTACAATAAACAGACATATTTCTAGTAATAAATCTCCAGAGTGTCCATTTTATTACCGCCCACGGTTCATCTCAATGGTAACGTTATTTAGCCTTATCTGTTGTGCTGTGATGGGTACTTGAACCGCATGAGACATTGACATTTATTACGGACAGTTGATCACTGTGGCGACTAGAGTTATAAGATCGGTATTTGTGCTGTGCACCAGGATTAACTAAAATAATATCTTTTGTTACGTTGCAAACGTTTTCACTTAAAAAGCATTATGTGGTCGTCAAAAATAACGGGAGGTTATACATGAACACAGATAGACATAAGCAAAATTAAACAACGATTCCCTTGCAGACTATGTATGGAGTGCCTCAAAGCATGCTTTTCACATCATCTTTCCCTTTCTCGACGTGCATTACGATCAGATCACCTTCCGACAAAACTAAGCATATATGTAGATATTATTATTGTTTACTAAACAGCAATTGTCACTGTAAGTATGTAGATTCCTCTCCTAGAATTTTATTACTTTAAAATGATAAATTCGCTTTTTAAATTTAAAAAAGCTAAATAAAACCTGACGTGACTGAATGCCGTTGTTTCCAAATAATGTATAATATACTCACTGTCATTTGCATTTCCTGACGCTGGCTCCAACGTCCATATCTGTTTTTTCTTAAGGCTAGTGCCGTTGGCGTTTATCTTAAAACCGAAGGTCTCCGCGGTGAGGTACCGGTACCTCGAGTTGATGAGCCCGATGGTCCACCAGCCCTTCTGCTGGTTTTGGGTGATGATGTCGCCGGCGCCGTTCACCTCGCCGTTGCTGTGTCCGTTCAGACCGTTCATTGTGGATCTGAGGAAGAATAAGATAACATATTGTTACAGAGTTTAAATGACTACCATAAAAATCACTCAATAATTGATATCATTAGAATCTTTCTCTCTTTTTCATTATTTGTAATTTCATCCAATCCAATAGATTTCGATGTTGTTTTTATAGTTAAATAGAAAATAGACGAAGGTAATTGTAACACATATAACAGCGAATTAAATAAAAACGGTCAGTTTTTGCTAAAACATGACAAACTTTAGAATAAACACTGATCATGATGATATTCTTCCATAACACAAAATAGTTAATAAGAAATTGAAATATTCGAGAAGATGCAAGCGCTGTCACTAACACATATAATTAGAATTTTGTTTGGCAAAATAAAATAACCAAAGCAAATGTTCCGTCACAGAACTAGTACATATTATAATAGAAGTAATTCGAAGCCGAAAGACTATCGAATTCGGCGTGAAACTTGTTAGAAAATATAATCAGTTACGGTGAAAACAATGAGGGAATAAAAGATACTTGACTACCGTGAAGCGTCGAGTCTCGCAACGATCCCATGGTTCATTTGTCAAAAGTTTGTAGATAATGGCCAAAACACAATGAACTCATTATTTTCCTCAAAAATGCCTCTCATGCCGTCGTTGAAACTACTACTCTCAAGACTCTTTACAAGAACAATGCTAGGCAGAAAGAAAGTAATACAACTATTAGTGGAAATTCTTCCTCAACAATAGGAAATAAAATAGATAGTCGGTTGAAAGAGATTTACGTTACAATTGAGACCATAATAAAGATTGTAGTAAAAAAGTAAAAATTTCCTTATTTATTACAGAAAAGAAATAATATAAGTTTAGTTTTTCATAATTCAATAAAACAATATATGATCATCATTATATATACATATCGCACAGATCTTAAACAATACTTTAGTGCACAACAACAAGTGTTGTTTGGGATTTTTACCTACCAAAACACTTAAATGTGAAAGACGAAGGATAAAGATTGTCGTTTTTAATTAATTACACATGTGTACACCCAAATTAGGTATATTTATTGCTGATCACATCGGACGTATTTTGCTAATTGTCATTGTTTGCTTAAAATGTACACAAATGGGTTTTCTTAGCACCATTTATGGCATGAATGTAATTTACGGCACTTTACTTACTGTAGGTGTTTATCAGATTCACGGAGTAGATATATTTTCAAAGGTTAAGATTCACAGAGGTTACTGACTGGCTGTCTAGACTGTAGCTAGCGAAAAGTCTGCCAACTACATTATGTATACGAGGATAGTTTTTTTTTTAACTTTTAGAAAGTACTTTATCTAATATACAATCAAATAATGTATTGGCAAATAATTGCTAGAAGTTAACATTGTAATTTTTATAGTTATAACTTGTTCCTCAGGGTTCTAAATTAGGTCCATATTTTTAGGAAAATTTGTTTTATAAATTATATCGTCATAATACTATATATGATATATATTCAAACGAATAGAATATTACAATACTCAGAAGCAGAACACAATGGTTACGGTCGGCCACCAAGGCCTTGGCTACTAGGTCAAAGGCTCCGCACCCATCATTGTTACATTAACATGTTGTTCATATCCAATGTGTAAACATGCATGTAACATTATTATATAATTAAGCTAGTTAATAATTTATCTAATATAAAATAAACACATTTCTGACTTATTATATGGTGTGTGGAAGTTAATGTTACAATTCCTTTATTGTACCCTTTTTGTTAGGTTTCATACGACTGTTTACCTCAAAACATAATCTCAATATGAAATTAGTAATGATGGGCTTATATTTATTGATTTGCGCAGTATCAGGGCACGGTCCATCAACAAATGAAGTGATTACGGATTTATTGGTCTCTATCTCGAATCAACATTGGGAGTGCCTAGCGGCTGCCAAGTGGGCACAATATAATGCCATGGGCGAGGCTGTACTTTGGGAACAGGATATAATTAAGATTTTAGGGAATGGATCATATATTACATGTCAACGAGAAGTGATTGAATATTAGTCTCGTTCCGATTTTTGGTTTCAGCATTCGTCAAACTTGTTATGTTAGCGTGAATTCATTTTACTTGCCGCGATGAGTTAACTTATAGGTATGGTTAATATTTAATTGTTCCATGTTTGGTACTTATATTCTCTTTCGGTAATATATTAAATTAGTTCGCAAAATGTCCTACAAGGTCATTGCAAGCTAGATACGTAGTTGCAAATTTTTACATCCTAAACAATTCTAATCGAAAAATATGATTAATTATCTATATATATAACTCAAAGGTGACTTACTGCCATAGTGATCTATCAACGCACAGCCTAAACCACTGGATGGATCGGGCTGAAATATGGCATGCAGGTAGATGTTATGCCGTAGGCATCCGCTAAGAAAGGATTTCGATCAATTCCACCCCTAAAGGGATAAAATAGGGGATGAAACATTATTTCGGGTATTTTACACGATAAAATAAATAAATATTCGTTAGAATTGCTGCTTAAAGTACCTTTTTAATAATATATAATTAAAAGATGTGATCTGGGAGCAAACATTGACTAGCACATCATGATAACTGGAGACACGCGATTGCTTAATTAAACACAATTACCTTGCACATTATCGGTAGCGGTGAATTGATTTACAACACGTAACTTGATTTCTTTATTAACTATGAAAACGATCCACTATATATGTATATATATATTTTTTACAAATAATACATGTAATATTGATACAGTTATTCAAAATAATAGTTTCAGCTGCAGTTATTTTTAAATAACGATACAGCTGCGTACATAAAACGACCGGTGTTGAATCTACAGTTATTGAAATGAATTCGTTTAAAACTTCGGGGTTTTGTCGGAGGACGTTTTTAATAAACACCTAAATAATTATTTTTATGTCTCAAAAAGTACTTATAGACTTTATCCCATATTAATTAACTTTATTATCACACTTAAAACTTGTGCCTGCGGTTTTGACAGTTGTTTTAAAAGAGAAACCTGTAGACTAAGCATCTTGCAACGATTGCTGGAGAAGTCTTCTGCAATTTTCGAAGCCTGTTCATCAATCCTACCAATAAAATATATAACTAAATGACCACAAGTTCTCCAAATGCTTTTAACACCCGTTGACTGTACTGTAACTAATAAAAGAAGACCATAAACCTACTTAAAACTTATTAAAAATCTTTGATATTTGAAAAGCCAATTGATCTGAACGTCATATCAATGGCTCGTACATGATAAGTCCTTTGAATGTGTATTTAAACTAATTGTTGTTATGATAACACGTACCAATGAAGGAAGTTAGATATCACGGATATTCTACACTACTACGGGTTTCGATTGATATTAAGTTTAAAATATTGCAAATACAAATGTTTCAAGTAACTTCATACATGTTATTTGAGTATAAAATAATACATAAATAGAATATTGATACTGAGAGATGAGATGACTATACGAAAACGTACTAAAATTTAATGATAATGGTATAAAATCGTAAATAATATACCTTAATATTGATAAAATAAGTCACAAACGTATACAAATATTTGATGAAGCTTAAATATAGAATTAAAATCACTACATAATTAATAAAAAAAGTCGCTTTCTCTGTCCCTATGTGCTTAAATCTTTAAAACTACGCAACGGATTTTGATGCGGTTTTTTTCCATAAATAGGGTGATTCAAAGCTAGTTACTAATATATATTAACAGTGAGTTGATCGACAAATAAAATACTGCATCTAATGAACCTAGTTGTTTTAAACTTTCACGGTCATTATCATCAGAATAATTAGAATCAGAAAAAAACGAGCTTGTTCGATATTTCATTAGGGAACTTTTAAAATAAAAGGTACCTACCTCCATGGTAGCAATCCCGGTTTTAGCAATCAGTCTTTCAGCAATGCGATACAAAAGGGGAACAAATAGATTATTTTGGTAATTACTTTCACTTAAAATTATTAATTTTAATATGTTAAGACTATCGACGGTCCAGTTCTATGGAAGAAAGTCGATATGCCTATCGAGAGTTTACCGTTTTCATGATCATCTGTCGACAGTGAAACTATCAGTACTCTCTAAGAACACTGCTAGGGTGTTTTAATCAGCACAAATATTGGATGAGTACATGGACAAGTTGAACGCAGAAAGATCAAGTACAACCGCAACATGTAACTCTAATACCGCATAATGTATTTCTCGGTGATTCATCACGGCCGCGGACTCGTTAGTGGCGGGTGGATGAACTAAATGAGTCTGATCATGATATATTATATTACTGCAGATGCAGATAGATACATTACTGCATCACACACACGTGACAAATGACCAATTGCTACACAGCACCACATGAAACTGCCGTTAATGCGTAAGAAATTTATTGTTGAAAGATTTATTGTATTTCTACTACTGACTCGCCATTTAAAATTACTGTATTTCCTGTTGAAACAGAAAACCTGTAAGTTATAATCTTAGCTTTCAGCGATTTATTGATTAATTTGACCATTATCTCAAATGTTACTACCGGAGTCCTGACTCATACTCGTTTTCGTGTTTCACGTTCCCGTTTACAGTATTTGCAAAATTCGATATAGTGTTCAACATTAGATGTGTTGTGTATCATCATCATCATCATCAGCCCTTTTACGTCCCCACTGCAAGGGCCTTCCTTATGGATGGTTAAGGAGAATGGGCCATAACCCTCCATGCTGGCCCAGTGTGGATTGGAGAGTATTAACGACTGCAAATGCAGCCAGGAACAAGGGCTTAACGTTTCTTCCGAAACACGGAGTAGCTGAGATAATCATTTTTTGGTCACCCATCCCGTGACCGACCCTTGCGAAAGTTGCTTAACGACAACGATCGCGGGCCGCGGCGCTTATCCACTGCGCCGCCAAATATAAAAAGATACAGTATCAAAACACGCAATCGCATGTAAATAGCCGTAGATTGAATAATTAAGTACATTATACATTGAAGT